TATTATATATAGAGAGAAAAAGAAAGAATTTTACATGGAATTTTTAAAGTGAATAAAAGACAAATTGTGTAATATGTTAATTATTTTTTTTTTTCAAAATTTTAATCGACTGACACAATTCAGTTAAAGAAATCGGTAATTGACTTCCAGGGCAGTTTCTTCCAACTTATTCAATCCACATCTTACTATTGTGAAACAATGCCTGAATTTCGGCTTCCTATCTCTTGGCAATGTTATAAGCATTTCGCTCAAACTCCGCACATCAACTACGTAGGTTCCTACCCAGTGTCCACTTGTCAAACTGTGTTTGACTACTACTCCTCCCAAACTAAAGATGCAGCTGTGTATGCATGTACTCCCCCATATACAGTGATATGCAGTCGATATTCAGATTCTGATCTGATGCTCAGATCGATGACAACGACTACAGGAGAGTTAAGGCTTTGTAGGAATTATCAATAAATTTTCAGTAACAATTGTTAAAATAAAGTAAAAATATTTTGACGATTTCTAAGAAGTTTTAACAGAATTTTTAAGCACAGAAAGTAAAATTTGCTGATTTAATAATAATTAAAGTATTATGCTAAAATACTGTTAATTAATTCTTCATGATAAGTCAAATACTGTGATCGCATTTAGCGATTTATCAAATAAAAATAAAAAGGGATCCGAAAAGCAAGGGGACTGTTTTAATAATGTAGTGTTAAAACGTTAATTTTTTTATGCATAATAATGCAGAATATTTGACCATTATCACTGCCAGTTTGATGAAATTGCGCTTTAAATTAGTTTAAAAATAAACAAAAAATCAATCTTAAAAACTATTTTAAATGATATATGTTGGTCGTAAAATTCGCTTACCATAAAAGAGTTTGACATCAAATAGCACAGGACATATATTATATACATATATATGCATTTATAGGTGCATGTTTATGTCCGTTACATTTATGCTAATATTTAGTTAGTTGCTTTTTAAAAGAAGCAATTCTTGCATCCATTGCAGCATTTCTTCTTTTTATTTTTTTATTTTTTTTATTTTTTTTTTAATGTCTAGATTTTTAAGCGAAAAAAGTGAATTCACATATTTACAAATTTAACATCTTAGTACATGAACATTGCACGAAGACTTGCATTATTGCAAATAAAATATTTTGTAGAGAAGAATAAATTTAACTGCTGAAATACATTCAAACATATTTCGGCTTTGTGCAGACGCTTGGAAATCTTTGAGCATTCCATCTTTCAGCTGGATTCGGATATTCATTAATTGATCCACACGGATAGACCGTTTTCATAGAAAATCGTGCAAACATGAAGCCACTTGATCATAAAATAGGATTTGGGAGAGAATTTTGAAGGCTAACAGAGAATTATACGTTAAACTAGGCTTTAATGTAAGCAAAATGAACGGATTTAAATGGCCGTTTAAGTTATGCTGGAAAGGTACCAACTTCTATATCTTTGCACATAAAAATTCTTCAGGTAAATCTTTTAAATTTCATGATGAGGGAGGGTAATTTAAATTCAGGAAAAAAAAAAAAAAAAAAAAAAAGGCTTTCCTTCTTAGTTAACAAAATAAGACCGTAGAGAGGAAATTAATAGAATAGTTATTTTTTTTAAATATATTTTAAAGGGATGATGAAGAAAAAGAGCATTCTGACGATTTAAGCTCAAACTGCCCCTACACACACACCACATGTATGTATATTTATAAACTTAAATATATCCAAATATGGCATGGACATTTCTTCCTTTTTCGTTCTGTCATACCTCTAAGGCATAGTTTTCCATAAATAATTGACGAGACATTATATCTCAGGAGTATTTGTATTTCCAACCCTGAAAATATATGTTAAGGGTAGTAAAGAAAGTAAATTTCTACTATTAAAAAATAATAAATATTGGATAATTTCTTAATAGGGTGCCTGTACTGATATCTTCGAACTACGTTAAGAACTTCTGTTTGTCTTTTTGTGAATTTCATATTTAAAAACCTTATCCCTACTTGAAACTTCGAATTATTATCTTATTTTTGATATGTGAGATTCAACCACACAGAACATCAAATTACCTTCTTTATTATATTAATTGAGAGTTATAGAAACAAAATTTTAAGATATGACATTTGATATCTTTTTGATATCATTGTTTGGGTTACATGTACAAAAGAAGGAAATTTTATGACATCGTAGGAGTTAAAGTCTACTCCAGAATATTATAAAAATATTAGATTCTTTTTATTAATTGGCTTTGCGTATTTACTTTAGAGAAGACAAAGTACTCTTTATAAAACAAAATCTTAATTTTTTTTTCCCGAAACAGCGACAATTAATATTTTAAAAGCAATATTTAAGAGGATTTTACAGTTGTCTATGCTATCAAAGAAACTAAAATCGAGCAAAATTTTATACCCAATTAGTTTAATATTTCTTTTTATAGAATAAAGTTTTAAATCATTTTTTAGAAGTATAGCATGCTTTCAGCATGCTTAATTATTTATCGCAGTATAAAAATATTTTCTCCGTTTGATTTGCTTTTATGTTTTCTCTTAGAACACATACATAGTGGAATCTCGATCATTCATCACCCTCAAAGCCTTAGTCGAAACGAATAAGAGAACAGGCAAATAACAGTATGTCCTCCCACCACCATTACTAGATAACAATTACATTATTTTCCGTTTATAAATCTGGTTATGACTAGAAATTGGTCTCGCTCCTGGATTTCAGACGTTTTGCAAGATTCATTTAGTTTGTCGGACTGCTTCAGGTGGCTGACGGATAATAGAAAAGATTTTAAAAAGGAACCCATTAAAAGCTTAATTTCTGTTCTGTGCAAGCAGAGAAATAAAAGAATAAAGCATTAAAATACGGATAAAATAGAGAGAATTATTAAATGAGAGGTTCCGTTTGTTATATGGGTGTTTTAGTAATACCTATAGTTCGGTTTCTGCTTTAGGAAAATCTAACATATTTTTATCAAATAAGTATTCTTTGTAAAACTCTTTGAGAATACTGAAAATGTCTGTGTCTTAAAATCCCTTTCTTTTGAAACTGAGCGAATGAGGTAATTTTCGCACGCTGTGATCTCGCATATGAAAAGCACTGTGTTAAATGAAATAATCAACTGTGTTGGCCGGCAAGCCTCATTTTGCGTAGCAAAGCGTTGGATGAAAGCATGAAATACAGCGGAACGTTAAACTTTTTGCCATTCATTTACGGTGTTTAGTGACGAAGTGGAATGGATTTTCTCGAACCACGAAGAGGAACGAATAACTTGGAAAGGCACTGACTTGTATCGAAGATTCTTTCCCCGGTGATGGATAGCAGCTTAAAAGATTACATAAAGAAAAGAGCTTCGACTTCCCTTTCACCTTAGAAATAACTGAGGATGTCTTTCGGGATTCAAATGAATTTGTAGATTAAACTATAAATGTGAAGCATTTGCGGAAAAAGGCAGAAGTAAAATGAAGAGATACATATTGGGATAAAAGAAGCCTTAAATATATGATAGTTTAAAGAGCATTAGAAAGAATGTAGTTACACGTGTAATGCTTTTTATCGCTTTTTGATCTTTAGTAGTCTTTATGCATTAAAAATAGTTCCATTGTTGAACGCTCGAATTTCTCATGACGGAGGAAAATTACTCATAAGATAAGCTCTTTCAAAGAAACTCCCAGCTCTTCGGCATAATTAATGCAATTTTTTTTCCCAAAAATAAGAAATGGAGAATATTTTGATCTTGTTTTCAACTTTTTAAATTGAATTAATAAGTGAATTCCTTGGTTTTACTTCACATTTTAAATAAGGCCTTTACACATATTTAAATATAGATAGGCATTATTTAAGCATTCAATGAATATAGATGAAGTCGTGTTTATATGTATATAAGAATATTCATTTATAAATAAATTTAAATACAAATAAAGGTAACAATTTTGATCGTTTTAGAACCACCTAGACTCTTATTAAGGGATTATACGCGTAATGCGTAAAATTCTAAAGACAGAATATAGAAGGATCCATGTTTCTCTAAGTTAGGTTCTTATTAAAAATTAGTACTATAATATATAACCACCAGAACAATTTTGACAACGTGATACTACTATCGCCGATATTTATCTAACATCAGTAATCAATCGAGTTGAACATAATCTCAGTGTAGGGAGTCTACTGATTAATTTTGATATAGAGTTAAAAATGGATCTTGTTTACGCTCTTACGTCATTATTATTTTTTTACAAGAAGATCGTAATTTGAGTCTAATATTCAATTTAGTCATTCTTAATCTCCCTGAATTTTTGGCCAAGTTTGTTGCGGAAAATTTAAAATTGTGAAAAATATTTGACTAACTCATTGTTATCTTTTTTTTTTCTTGGTTTTTTTCTCTATCATGCTGCGACCGTTTGATTTTATTCGACGCAAATGGGTATTTTCCGAAAAAGCTTTGAGAAAGGTTTTCAAGATTTATTGTTTAACTGAACAAAAAACATTTCGGCCGCTCGTTATTCCCCAGTTTAGAAGATTTTGTGAGATTATTTTATCCTGTCCTTTAGTGCACTTAAAATAGTGATTTTAGATAGATAAAAATATGTTGTCAGCATATCGCCGTAAGTTCTTGCTAATAAACGTGTTTATATGAACTTTTTAATTCAAAACAAAACTAATGTTATCAAGATAAGTATTATATTTCTTAAGGGGACTTTTTGTAATCCTGCCCTAAAATCTCTATATTGGGTAGAGGATATCTGAAACAATTTAAGAAACCAGAAGAAACAATTTAATTCAATTGAGAGCTTGCTGATATTTTGTTTGATTTCAGGTGAAAATCTGGTTCCAAAATCGTCGCTCTAAGTACAAGAAGATGCTTAAAGCTCAGCAACAGCAACAAAACAACCAACAGCCGAATCAACAAACGCCGGGGAGCACTCCGAACATGCAGCAGCCGCCGAATCCAGCGTCGACGCCGCAGACCCCACCCGAGTCCCACGACGCTCACAGCCCGCCGTCGGTTGCCATCCTGCCTCCGCCTCCATCGGCCCAGGGAATGCCGAATGCTACCGTCAGCCCTCCGGCCATGAGCCCGCCCATCTCCTCGTGGGACATGGCCTCGTCCAAAGCCATGAACGTCACGAACACGTACATGCCCCAATACTCCTGGTATCACCAGACGGACCCTTCGATGAATCAACAAATTCTCACTTAATCGTTACCAAACAACATGAGTGGTCCCTTTGTCTTGTCGGACGGTGTGATCAACATGTTTGTGTTCTTATACCATCGTCTCATAACCCCCTCCCCAAGAAGGTGTGCTGGGCAGAGGAGATTCTTCAGTATTACCTTCCACATACTTTCTCCGAAATTCGGCAGAAAGTGGCCGGGGAATCTATCGTCAGAGAGTGCAGTGAACTCAAACTTTTCTCAAGAAAAAGCCACGATTTCATCGTCCATCTCATGCGGGCTACATTGGCCAGTAATATTTCGTCACTCTGGAGCCAAATACATAAACGTTCGTTTTTGCAATTCTGTTAATTGTAAGTGTTCTCAACTCTATCCTCCCCGACCCGACCATACGGAGCAATGTGTTAATTGCAATTATGTCGATGTCTTCAAAGTTGAAAAAAAAAAAAAAAAAGTAAATACTACCACATCTCAACTTTCAATTCAATGCCTATTCTACAGATTTTAAGAGAAGGTGCTGCCTTTGAAAAACCATTGGCAATTATCGATATCGACATTTACCATGATACCCTGACGGGTTAAGCCTGGATTTCACTCCAAACATTCAAGATGCCACCGAGAAATGTTCTCGGTGTGAAACCCATCCATATATTGGATATTAAAAATTCTTTATATTGGATATTAAAGAATCATGAGTACCCATATAAAAAGCACATTGTTTTTTAAATCAGATAATTTAAAGTGTAATATTTTGAGTTTAAAAAGAATTGTGTACCATTTGATGTTTTCAATGAAATTAATTCGTGAGTATATAATGTATTACATCTAAATTTTTATTTCTTAAACGTTTTTATAAAGATTAAAAAGAATATTCTGATTTCTAACCTGAAGTGAGTGTAAATATGAAATCAGTGTGTACATATCAAGTGTAAAATTCAGAAATTACTCAAATATCAGTAATAAACGTCATATGAAAAATATTGTACTGCAGTTCATTTGTGTAATTACATCCAATCCCGGTATGAAAATGTATTCAAATAAATCGCGAAGGAAAAACTGAATACATATTGAAATAATTTAGAGATAGATAAATTTTATCTTTTAAAATCTTTTAAAAATTATTAGTATATTTAGTAAAACTCGTATGCAGCTTATAATACAGGATTAAATATTTTCATAATTATTCTAATTGAAAATAGAACGTTTAGATGTGAAAGTTGGATAATTGTTCTAAATCAGAATCCGCTTTTACCAATTTGTTAATTAGGTGGCTTAAATGCAAAACAGTAATGAAAAAGAGGTATTTTTTCCTTCCAACATAATACATATCTTAATAAAAGCTAGTATTTATTGCCTAATTAATTGCCTAATTTTTTCATTGCTTAATAGCCTAGTAGACAATTTATACCTTGTATATTTTTCGGTTTTCAAGAAATGATAATGGTGATATAAAGTTATAATTTGATTCTGAAGGAAAATACTTTTAAATATCCATTAAAATTAGAGAAGGAATAGTTTTTTTTTTTTTTTTTTTGTTCTTCATGTTTGTCACTACGGTTGAATTGGATTAAAATCAAGCGGTTTAAACGTGAGGCTTGCTTACAACACATAAAAAGTCTTCATTGTAGTTCAGTTTTTGATTCGTCTTAGCATAAAGTTTAATTGTTTAAAAATTGCTTTTAAATTAACGAGAGGGAAAGGCGGAAAAAGGGAAGTGATTGTTTACAAAATTTTACTCTCAGACATTATGTTAAGGTATATTAATTTAAACAGTCTAGCTGTTCATAGCCCAGTGTGCTATCTTAAGTGAAATGTGTGGCAAATAACTAAACTTTTCAATAAGTGAAATGTGTAGCACCGCTAACAATATGTGAATATTTAGTGAGAACAGAGAGCTCAGGTCAGATTAAATTTGAGTTCCTCAACTACAAAATTCGCATCTTTTTTTACATGTTGTTTAAATACTTTCCATATGTAACTAGGGTGAAAAGCATAATTTTTTTTTTAAGGTTAAAGGTAAGTGAAACATGTTTTGTATACACTTAATTAAAGTCTTCAAATTACAAGCATGGAGGTTTTTATTTCTGTAAGTATGAAAAATGTTTTGCTAAAACTAAAAGAACATGCTAATCGTAATTCTTTGTCTATGATCCTATTGTTTGTTCAAAAAAACCTTTTCTGTTACTCTCAAAAATGAAAAATGTCATATAACAATTTTTTTTTTCTCTAAGTTCTCCTTTGTATGGTTCTTGAAGGTTTTAGCCTTAGATTTCTGTGTAAATATAAAAGAAAGAGGACTATATACTAATTTTAAAGGAAGCATACCGAACCCACCGCTCATTCTTTTCCGTTACTTAAATCATTAACTGGCCTGAGGTGGTAGAGATTTAAAAGAAATTAGTGAAAAGATATGAAGTACTCTAAGGTACCTTAGGACATCACATAAGGGATATCTAAACTTGATGTCTGTCCTTTTTTAATACACATAGAAGAATTTTCAGTCAAAAGAAGTAAAACAGCATTCCGTTCAAAACGCGACAAGAAAATTTTAAGCTCTTCTTTTAACTCAAATTCTACTTTTGAATTCCATAATTTATTATGTTTTTCTCTCCAGGTTTGCTGCTCTGTTCTTTTATTGTTTATAAGAGAAGAAGGAGCGTACTTTTTTAAAAAAAATTTTAAACGTATGAATTATTTCGTTGTAGAGACATTAGGTTATTTTGAAGCAGGAGAGATGAAAAATGAGTAATGCGCTCGCCGGGATTCGAACCACGGACCTCTCGAATTCGAGCCGAGAGTGCTGACCATTACACCAGGAAGGCATGCTAAGAAGGCGGGAGAAATATCTTATATCGTAACTGAAATTTTTTGCAGACTTCATTTTATAGATTATTTTTACAAATTTTTCAAAGTTCATTTTTGACCATGCAATTGCTTCAATTCTATTTGATACCCATTTCTTTCAATGAGAAACTTTGTTCAAATATTTTAATAGTAACAATTGAATAAATTGTGCACATAAAAATGTAAAATTAAACCCTTATAATAAATTACTTTGCGCAGGAACTGATTCATTATTTGCATTCAAGAAGACAACATGGGGAAATCATCTGTTGCAATAAATCAGATCATCGAGATGGAGGAATCTGGCCCATTATGGATATGAATAAAGGCAGTTATGTGATCTACAGATCTACTCGCTTCCATACTAGGCAGTGTCTGAAAGCAGTCCACGAAACTGTGCAAATTATGAAATGTCTGTAAAAAATCATCCCGTATTCTGTGCGTATATATATCACTGTTTTGTTTAAAGTTTTAAAACTTAGTTTAACACCAGTCTTTTTGTTACATTATTTTATTTATGAAAGAAATTTCTTATTTTCTTTACTTTGAACCAACCTATTTCTACGTGTTTGTAAATCAAGTAATTATTTTAAGATGAATAGCCTTATTTTGTCTCCAGTAAAACTTAAGACGCTCGTTATAAGAGCTAAAGAAATCTGTTAAAGATTAGCTATTATACGCATACGCTCAGAAGAACGTTAATTTAATATGAAATTTTGAGAACAATAGTACGGACGATATCAAAACTGAGCCTTTTACAAAATAATGTCAGGACTTTAGGGAAAAAAAAAAACACATTTATTTATACTAACGTAAAACTGAAAAAATTAAAAAAAAAAAATAAAAAAAAAAAAAAAAAAAAAAAAAAAAAAAAAAATAAAAAAAAAAAAAAAAAAAAAAAAAAAAAAAAAAAAAAAAAAGGGAAAAAAAATAAAAAAAAATAAAAAAAATACGCTGCCCTTTTATTTTTATCATAAGAGATGAAAGTTTCTTTTAATGTGCATTGAAAAAGAATAGAACGCGAAAAATATGGGCAATAGGAATTAATTTTTCATCTTCTGATACACACGTATTAATTTCAGTTTTCGCATACTTTTCTCTCCTGATTGATTTCTTTTGCATAATACAAATTAAAAATACACTTTTTTCTGTTGTATGGAAAAAAAAATATGATAATTTTGATTTATTAACATTGGTTGACAGCAGAGGTCGTCAAGTTCGTATTACTTGAATGAAATATACAGTCGCACGCATGTCTTGCTCGCTTTCTTTCAAACGTTTATTGATATGCAATTATAGTGATAAATTGAATCTCTGAAATGGATCTAGAGTTTATGTTTTTGACTACTTCTAATACGTTCGAAGCAGTAATATCAATTCATTCCTTTTTGACAGTTTTCCTCAACAGGTTTATCCCCAATAATTTGAATTTGTGTTTACTCTTGTGTTATAGACATTTTTTATGCCATGCCTACTCTAAATTAAAGAAAAATCGTTTCATAACACCTGGAAATGTGAATTACGTTGCCCAAAAAATTAAACAAATAGCAGTGGAAGCTGATGCTATTTCATGTGAAAAAACATCTTGCATTTCGACATGAATTATGTGTTATTTGTCAGTTTACTGGTATCCTTTTAAGTCTTAAATTCGCTTTTATTTCGTATTTCTGATATCCGTAGCAAAGATAATTGAATGAAATTATATTAGATTGACTGTTATATATGACTGGCATATACGTATGCGGCATTTAAGATAATGGCCATTCGGACCAATATTAAGGTTTTTTGTGTTCTTAACTAATTGTTAAGTTTTTCTGTCACACAAGACCGCTTCATGTTGCATTTAGCAAACAATTATACAGGGGGCTGAAAATGGATAGCAAAAAATATCATTTACGGCTGTAATATGGAATTTTAAATGTTTCCAATCTAGGGAACAGCTAAAACGATATTTAATGTAAAATCGTATTTAATGAATTGCAGAGATCTGCAAACTACTTCAGAGGGTACAAATTGTAGTACTGTGCTCTCTGAAAATAGCCAAAATATAATTAGCAAAATTCGACGATCGCAGGAACAGGGAACTCATAAGTAACATTTAGCAAATAAATTAACTGCTCTCATTTCTCAGCTTCAAGCTAATTTGTTACTTGGTTAACATAATTCTAAGAAAAAATTTAGAATTTATATGAATGCATTAGAAAAAAATTCAAACTCACCAGCAAAGCACCTGAAAGGAAATAAAACTTCTTAAGTTAATATGTTCAAAGGTAATTAGCTCATCTTTCTAAATGCCGCAGAATTAAAATATAAATTTAGTTAATATATCATGCAAAAGGGAAGAAAAATTGATAAAATTTCCACATGAATAAAATACTGTAATAACAGAATAAAAAAAAGTATCAGTAATGAAGTGCTATAGAAATGTTATAGAAAATCCTTAAATTAGGCCGAGGCGAACTGAAATAAAATTAAGAGCTCTAAGTAAGAAAAGTAAATATGAATAATTAAGCTAAAAATGTTAAAGAATTTGTTAATAAAAGAGTATTATTTAGCATTTAGCAAATGACTGCACTGACTGTATTTCTACATTATAATTTCGATGTTTTGAAAAGGAGTTTTTTACGTGTATATCAGTTTAGAACTGGTATTTCCAAGTAAAAAAATATCATCTCTGTTTATTCAAGGTAAATAAATCATACATATCATGCATTTTCAATAAAAGTTAAGTCTACAATTAATTATCTGCTCAACAGATTTAAAGAATAGCTTCCGAAACAAATTTTTGGTAAAAAACTAATATTTAGAAACTAATCTAATTTTTCTCTGAGCAAGCCCAATTTCACTAAAACGTTTTGTCCATCGTTGTTTATATTTAGAAAAATGATGCTCAATCTAATATGCGTTCGTTTTACTAAAGGAAAAATGCGCTTCTGAGAAAATTAGGTTCTAGCATTAAAAAAAATTAATATTAAGAGAGCTTGATTTATAGAATTGGAAGCCTGAGGCTAAACCTCTTACCCAGTTTCCACCTTCTCTAGTTATTTTCATTTGGTAGATATCACTGGTGCGAATCATTTACATTTCGTGCAGTCTACTTTTCTGAGTATTTTGCTGTCATAATTTGGGTTTATTA